TGAGGGAGAGAGGTCCACCTTGTCCCTGCCAGTGGAGGTTGAGGGACCCTGGGAGCCCCTCGCTACCCTGCATTTGGGGAGGGGAGGGCTGGGGACCACAGCATGGTGGGTGCTCAGGGCAAAGGCTTTGTGCTCACCCCCAGGGGGTGGGGGGCTCCTAAGCCTGAGCAATGGCTGTGGCTACCCTGTGCCCGTGAGATCACGAATTCAGGTGCTGCCTCAGTTTCCTGCTGGCTTTCTGCCCAGGGGTCTGTGAGGCCTGTCCTGGGTTTGCAGTCTTTTCTTCTGGGGTGCAGGTGTTTGTCCCTGTGAACATGTGGCTGTATGTACCGGTCATGGTGTGGGTGCAGATGTGGTTTTTTGTCAGCATGGATTAGCAGATTTGCTCACTTGTGTGTGTGTGTGTGTGTGTGTGTGTGTGTGTGTGTGTGTGTAATATTCGGAAGCGACCACTTGGTGTAGGGGAGAGAATTAGAAGAGAGAAGGACATTCGGGTCCAGCTGTCTGCTCCATGGCTGAGGGACCTTGAGGTCTTGGTTTCCCCCTGCCAGCCAGTCTGACTCACAGAGCCCTGGGAGTGAGAGGGCTCAGGAGGAGCGCTGCTGGGTTTGCACAGATCTGTGTATTGTTTACTTGTTCCACAAACGAGGGCCTCACGGGCCAGGGGTGCGGTGGGGCAGGGGACAGAGCAAACGGCAAGGATGGTGATTATTCTCTTGGGACAGAGAAAATATTGGATGTTCTGTGTCCGTGCAGGTTTGCAGTGTGGGTGACAGTGACTGTGGGTGTGGACTGTGGTCCATATGTGTTTGCCACACACATTGTCCCCTTGGAGCAGCTGCACAGTGTGTGGCCGGCAGGTCACAGTTGAACATCCACTGGGTGAAGGACAGGGTGGAGGAGCGATTGGTGACCTTTTCTAGGAAATGGCAAGTCGTAGCTAGAGTAACAGAGCCAGGTAAGCACATTAGAGGGCGCCCTATAAATGAGGTCAGTGCTGGTTAGAGGGCGCCCTATAAATGAGGTCAGTGCTGGTTAGAGGGCGCCCTATAAATGAGGTCAGTGCTGGTTAGAGGGCGCCCTATAAATGAGGTCAGTGCTCGATTTAGAAAGTTAGCCACACGCAGTCACGTGCCTGGGAAAATAGGTGAACTTCCTGCTCCCAGGTCACTGCCATGCACTTTACCTGGCGGTCTGCTTTTGTTGTCAAACATGTACCCAGTGGATGTCGCGCCTTAGAAATCCTGTGATCTGCACATCACTTGGGTATTTCTGGGCTGATTTGGACTTTGCTCTGAAAGTCACTCTCTGCCGAGACAATAAACATGTTTACCAGAGTGGCTGGGTTTACATGTGAGGATGGTGTGCTCCTGCCTCCCGGTTTCGGGAGTGGGCCAGGGTGGGATTCCGCCCTGAATGCAAACAAGAAAAAGAGGAAGAAGAAAGTCGCTTTCGATGAAGCCTGGATAAGCAGAATTTCACACTCAGAGCAGTTAGAAGATTTAATTGTGGCCCATGTAGAAGGGAGGAGGTGAATTTTTTTTTTTTTTTTTGGCACTGCGGTTTGAACTTAGGGCCTTGTGTTTGCTAGGCAGGTGCTCTACCTCTTAAGCCATGCCCCCAGCCCTTTTTTGCTTTGGTTATTTTGGAAGTAGGGTCTTGCTTTTGCCTGGGTGGGCTTGGAACGTGATCCTATTTGTGCTTCTCTGAGTAGATGGATGCCAGGTGCACGTCACCATGCTCAGCCACTGGTTGAGGTGGGATCTCTCAGACTTTTTGCCCAGGCTGGCCTCAAACTGTGATCGTCCTGAACTCTGATTCCCAAGTAGCTGGGATTACAGACATGAGTCACTATGCCTGGCTAGTTGATCATATTGAAATAGTCTTCATTTTACATGTCTTCAGGATATGCCACCTAGAGAGGGCTTACCCTGGGGTAGGGGTTTTGCCTGCCCTGGTCAGCCACACTTACTCAATCCCTGGTCTGGAGCTGGAATAAAGTCTCTGGAGTATAGCAGTCATAGGTGGGGAAGAGCTGGGGGAGCTCGGTCACTGCCACCTAAAGAGGAAAGTAGATATGATACAGCACTTGCAGGGAACGAGGCGGGGACAAGGTCACTGGGTTTGGCGTTGGAAGGCCTTGGAGACCCTGGAATGACTCCTGAGCAGGGAATGTGGGAGCCCGGGCCACATGGCAGCCATTCATCCACCTGCTCCCTGCTCTGGGGCCACAGCAGCTGCTGCCTCCTGCTCTTCTCCTTACTTCCCTCACCTCTGCCTGGGCTTAGGCCCTGGCTGTCCCGGGAGGGAGGGGGTGGCCGAAATGGAGGCAGTTTTCTTGAAAACCCACTGAGGAGGGAAGGCGGCTGTGGTGGGATTGTGCGGCTCTGCTTAGAAGCAGCTGTGTGTTCTCTGAGGGCGGGAGGAGGGGGCCCATCGTGGGCCATGGTCGAGATGTTTCCATAGTGATGACAGCTTTTTAAAAGATGACTGTGTCTCTCTGCACTGCTGGGTGGGGACCTCCACCTCTCAGTGAGACGGGACCCCTGGAGCAGAGTTAGCACACGAAGAAAGGGAATGAGGCAACACGGGTGCTCGGCTGATTTTGGAGTTTGGTTGTAGAACAGCTTCCCTGCCAACCCTGTCCTATTTTCCCTGACCACAGGAACATATGGAAAAGGCAGAGGGAACCCTGACACTGTCAAGGAACTATTTCCAGCTCAGCTTACTTTGGTCTTACAGCAAGGAGCCCCTCTGCCTAAACCTGCCTTCCCTTAAGGCCACGTGCAGCTGCAGCTAAGGCACCAGGAGGAGGGGGAGGCATTTACGTCAGCTGTGCACACAGCAATCTTGTTGGTTTAAAGACCAGAATTTTCTCGTTTGGACACATGCGACATCTTTCTCACTGTTACGTCTCTGGAACCGAGTGTAATTCCCGGGAATCTAATTAGTGGGTACAAAGATGACTTCTCCTCCTACCCACACTATCCTTCAGAGGCACAATGGCGAGGCAGCCAGCCTCTGCAGCTCTGAAGGACGTCAGTCTGTTTCCATGGAGGGTGCAGGGATGTGACACTAGTTTCCATGCGGCCAGATGTTCCTTTTAAGGAACACCAAACACCAAATACAGCCTTCCACGTGGCCTGCCTCCTCCCCTGGCCTCCTTTCTCATTTGCTCCAAGGCTGTCCACGTGGGGATACCCAGCAGTGCTGTGGTACCGTGGCCTCTGATGACGGTGACAGGGGGCTGCAGCAGTGTTTGTCCATCCTCCCAAGACTGGGGCTGAAAGGAGAGAAGGCATCCTGAATGTCACTGTCACCTTCAAATCTCTCTGTGTCCCCTGCCTTTCCTATTCACCCTGTGTCTTTCTCACACACTCCCACGGAGCCCATGTGTACGAAATTGTGGTTATGTTGCTTTTGCCTCTGTGTGGAAGTATGGAGAGTGTACATTTACAGTAAATGGATCTGTTGGTAAAGGCAGGGGGTTTGATGGAAATACATAGTTTATAACACAAGCCACTAAATAACACTTAGTCAATCCATGATAAAGCCATAATAACAAGCAAGAATAGGCGGCCCATGGACTTGAACTCCACAGGAGCCTCTGGGAGCTCTGGGTTGGGGTTTGGAACCACCTTTTATTTTTTCTTTTAACTTCCACCATAGGTTTTGAACAACTCTGATAAAGTTGGAAAGCCCCAGGAGTTCAGATTAGAGAAACCCAAGTTCAATGCCATGCCCACACCCAGGCCTGCTTAGGATGCACCAGGAGGGGCGAGGGTTCTTTTGTGTTTTCCCGTTGGCAGCGGCTTTGTTCTAGAGGGAGTCCCAAACCCTCGAAGCTCTGAGATAGGACGAACCCAGTAGAACTAGGCTTGTGACGACACATAGTTTAATATTATTAACCGTGAGCTGTCAAGGTGCTGGGACCTAGCAAAATAGACAAAGGGGAGGGAGAAAGGCTCAGTTGATGAGATTTTAGTCGATGGGCCGCTATGAGAAGGTGCCATTTTAACAGAGCCCTGGAGGCAGTGAGGGAACAAACTATAAGGCTGCCTGGGGGAAGAATGGTCTAGAAAGTCCAGCTGGCCACAGTGAGAACTCTGATGCGGAGTGGGCCCGGAGGAGGGCAAGAAGCATGACAGTGTGTGAGTGAGGCACAGTTGGAAGAGGTGATAGGGACCAGGCCACGTGGGGTCTGCAGGCGCTGGAAGGGTTGGACTCTGAGTGGAAGGAGTGCATTGGAGGAAGGGAGTGACGAGCTCTGACATGTTGGTTAGGCCATGCGGTTAAGGGGAGGTCACAGAGGGGAGGCCCAGAGAGCAGGGAGGCCAGTGAGGAGACCACTGCCTCCTAGCACTAGCACAGGCGAGCTAGGCAGTGATGGTGGCTGCAGGTGACATGCTCTGAAAGTGAGGTAGGTAGGCTTTGCCGATGGGTCAGAAGTGGGAGTGAGAGAAGGAAAGGAGTCAGGGATGACTTCTCATTTTTACAGCCTGGTAGCAGACAGGGTGGCCTTGGGCCTGCTTCAGACGAGGACACGGCCAGCCATGCAGCACGAGCTGCCCAAGTCCCAAGGCCTTTGAGGAGCAGGTCTTGGCCGCTGCTTCAGCTACACAAGTTTCCTGTCGCTGTGGTAACAAATTCCACTAACTCAGTGGCTTCGAAAAAATGCAAATTAATTATGTTTAATTTTGGAGTCAGCAGTCCCAAGTCACCTCATTGGGCTAAGTGAAGGTAAGGCAGGGCTGTATTCCCCCGGGGCTCTTTTGAGGCCCATTAACCAGCCATGGGATCTGGTTCCATTTCTTCCTCTGGAAAGTAGTTCTAATGACACCCCTCTCCACCCAAGATAGCAGCTTTGGGAAAGTGTCACTGGGACGGGGTGAGGTCACTTTCAGTAATGGCAGGATCAAGGCCCCATCAGCCCAGTTAGCCAACCTTGGCCATTCCTGTTGGCCTTTCCTAAGGGAGCTGTTTGTTTTGGTTGTAGCTCAATGGAGCACCTGAAGGGCCCACAGAAGCCTCTGGCGGATAGGCGAGCCCAGTCTGTGGACAGGTCACAGGTCCCCAGGAAGGACTCTGAGGCAGGGAACTGCCAGTGCCTCTCCCTGCCCACCACCACCTGCAAGAGGACACTTTGCCGGGTGGCCAGCGATGGGGCCAAATATCCTGCAAGCCCCTTTCAGTCTGCAGAGGCTCAGAGCACCTCAGCCTCAGCCCTCACATTGGAGGAGACAAGGCAGTGTCCCCCCAGCGAGCAGAGTCCCTCAGAAGACATCAAGAAGGACAAGGCCCAGAGGCGGGCCCAGCAGGGGTGGCTGAAGACCATACTGAACTTCCTCCTCCTCCTCAGGACAGGCCCTGAGGAGCCCAGGGAAAAGGCCATCAGGAGGCCAAAGGGAAAGGAGGAGCCCCTTGAGCCCCCAGAGGCAGCAGAGGAGCCAGCCCTCAGAAAGAAAGCCCAGGAGAGGAAGGCCAGCCGCAAGAAACACGGGCACAGGAAACATGGTGCCGAGGACACTGAGGGGCCTCAACACCAGGAGGCCAGAGGCCAAGAGGCAGGGCTGCCTGAGGAAGCTGATCTGGGCCCGACTCACAGGGGTGAGCAGACAGGCGTCCCTAGGGTGACCCCAGTGCCCCTCCCAAGGCCAGAGCATTGCTCCTTAAAACTTTCAACAGAGGAGACGTGGACGGTGGGGACATTTCTCTGAGGTAGAGTAGCGCCATGGCTGAGCACTTGAGGTCAAAACACTTGAGCTTGCACTGTTCCCTGCGTGTGTGGCCTGGGGCTGGTGACTCTTCTTTGAGCCTCAATTGCTTTTTCTTCACGTACACCCTTGCTGTCTCAGGGTGGCACGGCCCACAGGAGGGTGCTTGGCACACGGTAGCTGTTGCTGCAGCTATGAAAGTTGAGGAGCACAGGCGAGGATAAGCAGGAAGGTTGACGGGGAAGCCCTCCCTGCCCCCACTGGTTCATAGATGGCAGTTGGGGTGCTGGTGCCAACTTGGCTCCATCAGGCCCAAACCTGCTCTGTGGGTTTGAGCAAATGGCTGTCTCCGCAGCCTTTGGTTCCTCACTTGTGAAATGAAGGAACTAGCCCCCAGAACATTCCAGGGGTCATGGCTTTGCCCTGGAGTGCTCAGAACTCATACATTCAGTCCTACAGAAGCACACACCTGCATGCACACACTCACTCACACACACTCACAACTTCACACCCTTCCACATGAACACAGACACATAGCAGTGGTTTGGGGTGGGGTTGGGGGCTATAAGAGATACCAGGAAGACCCAGTTGAGAGGGAGCCTGCTGTGAGCGCCTCCCGCAACTGGAAATCATGGCAGACTTCTGACCCTTGGCTTAGGCTTAGAGCTGGCGACAGCAGGGCCTGTTGCACTGTGAATTTGGTGCCGTTTTCTTGTATGGATGAACAAAGTCAGAAGAACGTCACTGATGTATGTTTGTGTCCCCTTCGTCTATGTTCTAGGTGGACAAGATTCCAATCTCCACCAGTTCTTGCCCTTCCAAGGGAGGAATGCTGGACTCTCGGACACTCCTCCCCAAGCTGCAGGGCCCCTGCCAGAAGAGGAGCTCAAAAAGCCTGATGGTAAGTGCCAGTCCCTCGTGTCCTCACCTGTGGCTATCACCAGATGACAGGGATTGCTCTGCTGGTCACTGAGACCTTGGAGGGTGGCTCTCAAAACACACGCATTGCTCTTGCTTGCCTGTTTGGCTGCTTCTGGCCACACTTATTTTAGAATGTCACAGAAGGGAGTTTTGGAGTTGGAAAAGCTGCTGACACATTCTCCTGCCTGTGTGTTCATGGCAATGGGTTTTCCTTTTGCATCTTAAGATTATTCTTAGACTCACAGAGCACAGAAAAGCCTCTGAAAAGGCTGGGTGTGAATTGTGAACACCTCTGTGTCCCAGCTCTAAAATTTATTTTATTTAAAAATATATAGAAGTGTAGTCACTGGGGGCATAGCTCAGTGGTAGCATTTGCTTAGCATGAAAGAGACCCCAGGCTCAATCACTAGCACTATAAAATAAAATAAAATGTGGAAAGAATAGTTCACTGCACTCTCGTATGGCCACCATTGGTAAGTGCTGGCTTGCTTCCTATCAAACTGTACATATAATTTTGGTGTAGAACCGCTTCAGAAAAAAATGGTGCTTCATCTCTAAATACTAAACACAGGTCACTAGGATATAAAGACAGTGTAATACACACTCACAAGAATGTTATTTTTCCCAACCATAATATATCAACAAAAATATCCTATTCTTCTAATTCCCTGAAAAAGAATGGCCATGTTTTAAAAGCTAGGACAGAGGGGAGCTATGCAACTCAGAGTAGCTGAAAGGTATTTTCTTTTATTTATTTATTTTTTTGGCAGCACTGGGGTTTGAACTCAGGGCCTGATACTTGCTGGGCAGCCACTCTACCACTTGAGCCACCTTGCCAGCCCTTTTTCGTGTTGAGTATTTTCATGATAGGTTCTCACGAACCGTTTGCTGGGCTGGCCTCAAATTGCAATCTTCCAAATCTCTGCCTCCTGAGTAACTAGGATTACAGGCATGAGCCACTGTGCCCCACTTGAGACTTTTTAGCTAGTTATTTTGTAGGATATTTACTTTACAGCTAATTGTTTGCTCACCTAAGAGCGAATCAGCTGGTAGACTGAGTCAAGAACTGGAAGCAAACAGACTTTGTAAACAAAAGGGAAGAGAGGGCAGCCAGCCTGGGAACAAGAAACCTTTATTCTTACCTGTTTTCATGTGAAGTCTGCTGGCAGCCTGCAGAGGGCAGGCTGGGCACATCGTTCTGAGTAATGTTGACTGGGTATCAACGGAAGGAAGCCATTTCTGTTGTCCCTGGCTCCTGTACAGAATGTGGTGGAGACATGAGTGTGGCAGGCTGTTGATGTCACCCACCCTGCTAATGTCTTTCCTTCTTCACCTTAGTTAGGCCCAGCATCCACCATTTCCCACACTGTGATTCAGCATCAGCCTTGCAAAGTGTCTCCAGGCTCCTTCCCTCATTTGATGGCCTGGCGGCCTCTGAGGGGGGCAGCACCAAGATTTATAATCCACATTTCACAGGGAAAGAGAGGAAGGCCCACAGAGGGTGTGAGATTTACCCAGGGTCACACAGCTCACCGGATCAAAGTGGACGCTCACAGATCGGTGAAGTTTAAAGGACTTAGTAGGGCAAGAGTTGACTGGCTGGAGGGTGACCTGAAATCTCTTGTGTGAAATGTCAACTCTGGCTCAGACCCTTCCCCCTCAGATTTTCCATCCCTCCCTCAGGAAGTACCGCCCCTGGGATGTGATACTCCCCCCTTCCAGGAGCCGTTTTGAGCCCCTTACTTGGTACAGAGGCCCAGGTCGGTGTCAGAAGTTCAAGATGGGCGTTGGAAAGTGTGCTCTGTGCATTTAGAGTGACAGGTGCATTGCATGTGCTCTCTTACAGAGGACGCTGTCATCCTTATGATTGTGGAATTGCTCAAGAAAGTGGGTGACCAGTGGGAGGAAGAGGTGAGGAGCAAGTGCAGAACTCCCACTCTGTGCAGATCTAGGGGGCCCTTCTCTCTCCTCCTTGTTGGAGCTCCACCTGTCCTTCCAAGCCACCTCAGTCCCTCCCTCCTGCTCAGGGCTCAGAGCTGCCCTCCTCTGGGGCCCGCCCCTATGCAGTGCTGGGCTGCTGGTTCCTTCTCTTCAAGGTTAGTGGCCTGACTCAGTTTCTCTCTTCTCCCCCACAGCAATTGCAAGCTCCTCAGCCAGAGGTGGCTCCACAAAACCCAGCAGTGGCCCTCGGGAGGAAATCCCAGGAAAAAAAGCCCAGCCTCAAGAGGGTCTTTTCTCTTAAGAAACTCAGCCCTGAGGAGCCCAAGAGAGCGAGCAGCTCTGAGGCTCGGTCGCCCAGGAGGCCCGGCTTGTTGTGTGTTGGTGGCCACCGGCCCTCCATCTCCAACAGCCTTGGTAAGCAGGCCTGGTGTTGCCATGGCAACAGTGCAGCTGCCTCCAGCTCTGGAACCTTCCCAGGGCTGCCACTGGCCACTTGAAGGGCTTTGGTCCCCATTCTGAGTTTCCCAATTGAGCCGTGGGTGGTGTGGGGTGGGATGGGGAGAGAGATGCCGGCTGATCACTTCCTCACACACCCTCACTCACATCCGGGCAACACCCCTAAGCCTTCCATGGGGATTGTGTTTAGGGGTCCCGCAACTGCCCACATCTCTGCAGCCTCAGCGTCCACACCTGGGAATGGGGTAAGGTATCCAGGAAGGAACTGGAGCCAGGGAGGCAACACAGGAGCAGATTCAGGCCCATGGTGCTGGATGTGGTCCTTCACTCATCCTGGAATCCCTGGAATCGGGCACCTACTATTCACTTTGTGGATCGAGCCATAATGGCGGAGGGCTGGAGCCACCAGGGAGGGAAGAATGGCAGGGAAGCCCAGGAAAGCCAGCACTATGGAAGTTTATCCTTCGCTCCTAAACCAGAGGCTGAGCCCAGCCACTCACCTGCAGCACAGCAGGGCCTCAGTGTGATGCATCCTGGCGTCCCCTATAGAGTCAGTACAGCCACTGGGCATGGCTACCACCTTCAGACCCATGCAGTGTGCCCACTGGTCCATTCTGTTCCCCAGGCTCAGAAGAACCTGGAGTCCACGAGACCCTACCTGGCCATGGTGAGGTCCCAAGCCCCTTGGAGCTTCCCACCCAAGCCAGATGCCAGGGACTGGAAGAGGAGCTTCTGCTGGACGGGGTCCCAGAATCCAGTGAGTACCCCTCTCCTTTTCTCAGACACCTCTTGGGGGGAACTTCTGGCCTGACTTGTCCACTTGCAGAAGAGAAACTGAGCCAAGGACAGGCAGTGGCTTGTCCAGACCTTTCTCTAGGAGCCTCAGGCTGGGGAGGGAGCATGTGCCCAGAGCACAGGCCCGAGTGAGCTGGCCTGCCTGTCACACACCCTTACATGATAGCAGTGACACACTGGCTCAGTGAGGCAGGCGGCAGGCAATCGGGGAAGGGCAAGGACTTGGTAGATGGCCTGATCTTTAGGGCCTGGTATTAATCTGAGCTTGGACCCCCTCTAAGTGTGTGAACCTGGCCAAGTCACTCCATCTCTGGTCTCAGTTTCCCCCTCTGTAAGATGGGAGTAATCACAGCACCTCCTTCCTAGGGTTGTTGGAAGCTCTGAGTGAATTAAATCCTAAAAAGCTTTTAGGCAATTCATGTCAGCTTCTCTTTGCTGTACTGTTGTTGTTAGGCCAGCTTGAGAGAGGAAGGGGGCAGGGGGCAGAGGCGGGAAGCTCGACAAAGGCAAGTTGCTGTCACTGTTATTATTTTATCATTGGTAGGGCCAGGCCTAGACTCATAGTCATTGTCAGTCCTCTCTCCCCCTCTGCCTCTCCACCTATCTGTCTGTCTCTCTTTCTTAGGTACTGGGAATTGAACTTGGCCTTGTGCTTACTGGGCAGGCACTTTACCACTTGAGCCATACCACCAGCCCTGCCTTTTTCCTGGATTCTGCCTTGTGCACCTTTTGTAAACAATGCTCCTTGCAGGGGGACTTGGGAAGGGTCCCTGAGATGAGGATGGCACTGGAAGGGCCTGTGGGGAACAGGCCAGGATCCCTTTTCCAGAGGCAGGGCCACCTCTTTTCCCTTTCCTGAGGTCCCTGTTGGAGAAAGGGTTGAGTGTACTCTTGGGAAGCCAGCTTTGTCTTCAGTCCACCTAGAGGGGTGCAGCCCTGCCTAGGACCCCTGGGAGGACAGTGGGAGCTGCCTTGAATTTGAACTTGTCATAGAAGAGTTTCTCTAAGCACTCTGATTTCTTGTAGGAGAATTTATGCAGAAGATCCTTGCCCTGCTGCGGGATGCAGAAGAGCAGGAGGGAGAGCAGGTGAGGAAGTCATCCCCCTGGTGCCCCTGCCCTTCTCCCGGGACCCCCATACTGCCCCTCCTGGGTGCAGGAACTCCTGCTGCTTCCTGAGCCTCCTGCCCACTCCAGACCACACTCAACTCCCCACCATACCCATTCCCCAGCGTGGAGCTCCATGCTCCTTGACTAGGCCACACCCTCTAGTCCACCTGCAATCTCCTTAAGGTTGTGGACCCTGACTCAGTTTCTCTTTTCCCCCTCACAGCAACCTCAAGTCCAGGAGGCAGAGGCAGCTGTAGAAAACCTGGCCCCAGTCTGCAGAAAGAAATCCCAGGAGAAAAAGTCCAGCCTCCGGAGAGCCTTTTCTCATAAGAAATATGGCTCCAAGGAACTCAAGAGGGGGTACACTGCCGATGCCTCCAACACAGAGGTCCGGCCACCCAAGAGGCCCAGCTTCCTGCCCCTGTGTGTGGGTGGCCAGCGGCCCTCCATCTCCAGCTGCTCAGGTGAGCAGGCCTGGTATTGCCATGGTAACGGAGGCTTCCCCGAAGGTCACCTCAGTCTTGACTTCTGTTTGACTTTCCACACTGGACAGAAGGGAAAGTGTGGGGAAGTGGGGGAGAGAGGGGTCTGATTGTCAGCAGGACCCACCACTCAACACACACCCTCCTTTCCTCCATCATGTCCCCACAGAAACACTGAGACCAAGACACTGTGAGACCCAAGCTTCTGTCCCCTAGATCAGTGTGTCAGAGGCCCTAGGAAAGCAAACAGGAGCTGAGGGCCAGGTTTGAAGAAGACGAGCATGGCCTGAGCTTCTGTGGTTTTACTGCACACAGTGGGGACCACTGGAAGACAGTGATTCCCTGACATTTGTGAAGTGCCTACTGTAGGACACTGTCACACATTCTATCTAGGTTCACCTTGGTCCCTCTTTCACTTGACGGACAGAGAAGGTGAGGTTAGACCAGTTGACTTGGCAAAGCCTCAGGAGTGAAAGAGGAAGTGGTTCACTTCCAGTCTGCCCCATTCCAGACTGCGCGGGGGCAGAGGGGCTGGAGGAAAGATTAGATTAGATTAGATTTCTGGAGAGGTTAAGAAAGCTCTGTGACCACCACCCCCCCACCCCCCGAGGCAGGGCAGGGCTGGGAATTCTGGGGACCTGAGATAGATGTAAAACACTCACAGGGTCTCTCTTGCCCTTAGGTCCTGAAGGTCTGGAGTGTTGGCAGCCCTCGGCTGCAGAAGGGGGACCACTTGGGTTCTCAGAAGCAACCCCCAAGACCAGAAGCCTTGCATCAGAAGGGCGACCTTCGCTGGCGTGCGAATCTAGTTAGTACTGCCCTCTGTCACCTGGGACAGCTAGGCAGCAGCTCCAGGAGGGAGCTAAGAGGGCAGCTGCAAATACCCCAGGAGACCCTAGGAGAGGGGAAAGGGCAGACACTTGTCCTTTAAATGGGGCTGCTGGGCAGTGCTGTGGTGACACCTGTCCTCCAGCCCAGAACGCCGTGTATTCTGTGGGAGGTTTGCTTGAACATTTCATGTCCAGTCTGGCGTCATGATCGGTGGTGTGCTCTGACAGGCTCTGACCTGTAGCATCTGTAGACTTCAGGGGCATAAGCACTTCTACCTTGGCTGTTTCAAGCTGCCAACAGTTCATAATGACCACTCCATAAGTTTCCTGCCCATTTGCACCCCACACACCACTGCTGATAACCCAGGCGGGTGGGCGCTCCTGCTGCACCAGCACCTGTGGTGGCCTGTCCCCTCCTTGCATCCTGGTTAGCCACTCCCGGCCCAAACTTCCACTCCTGATGATTGTCCACCTGGAGTTGACTGTGGTGGCAGGGGAGGCCCCCAGCCATGGTCCCTTCCATTTCTGGGACGCTCCTCCAGTGCTGGCTTTAGGGAAGATGTTTCTTCTTCTGCCTGACTGGCCTGGGTGCCGCATTTCAGAGAGACAGTGCTGTTGTCAGCAACACAGGCGCTGTGGCAGCTTTCTATCGTGGGAGGGGGACTGGGCGTCTTCCCCTCTCTGGCCCTTACCCTTCCCTCTTTCCTCAGAGGACCTCATCATCCACGAGCTGGTAGCACTTCTTCAGGAGGTGGACGGCGAGCTGGGGAAGCAGGTGAGCACCACTGAGTCCTCCCCAGGCTCCCTGGGACCTGGGCTCAGTCTTCTCCACCTTTGTGTCTCTGGGTGACCTGGGGCCTCTCTAAGCCTCAGTTTCCTCTTTTGCAAAATGGAGTATAATTACCTATTTGACCAAACTTACTGCCTATTCAGAAAATGCCAGGCACGTAGCAGGTGAGGCAAATGTTTGTTTAAAATAATAAAATGCTTGCGGGGCTCCCTCTGCCAGCCAGGACCTCCCCCAGTCTGAATCCTGTATTTGGGACTCAGGTCACATCCAGAGCCTTGGAAGCCACCCTGTGCCATCCAGCCCTTGAATCTGCTCCTCTGCAAGGTCCCCTTCATGCTTTCTTGGCCGTGGCCTTCAGCGTTTGTGTCCCCAGGTTTTTTGGGGCACTGGGATTGTAACACAGGGCCTCAAGCTTGCTAGGCAGGAGCTCTACCATTTGAGCCACACCCCAGCCCTTTTTTGCTTAGTTTATTTTTGAGATCATCTTGAGCGTTTGCTCAGGCTGGCCCCAGACTATGATCTTCCTACTTCTGCCTCCTGAGTAGCTGGGATTACAGGCATGTGCTACTACAGTGGGCTCTAGTTCTTACTAGAACTAGATTGGACTTCCCTCTGGTTAGCCTGTGGATTGGCCTTCCCTCTGGTTAGCCTGTGATAGAGGCTCCCTGCTCTTGAAAAACAGAGCCTCCCCAGAGAGGCAGAGATCCCATGGGAGGGGGTTGTTGACTCCTCACCTCAGCACCCATCCAACTCCTAGCTGCCAGCACCTACATCCCTTTGCCTGAGGACCCAGAGCCACTGTTAGCAAGTAGTAGGTGAAACTAATACTGTCCACTTCCCCAGTGGCAGCCTCCACCAGTGGCTGATTAGCAGTGGGTATGCAAAGATCTAGTCCCTCCCTGGGGAGGCCTACCCTGAGGGATTAAGCTGCAGGTGTCCACTGTGTGGGCTGCCTTCCCATCCTGTCCCAGGTCTCTGTTCCCAATCAGCACTCCAGGCTTCACGTAACAACTAAACCACCTGTATCCAAGTCCTTGGCTCTGCGTCTGTCCCAGGGACACCACCTCTCATATTCAGGGAGGAAGGAGGGAGTTGGATGGAGGAGACTAAGAGTCAGACAGCAGACTCCATGAAACATTTTATCAAGACCGTCTCACTTGATCCCCTCCTCAACAGTCCTGGGAAGGGGATAGTATCACCTCATTTTGCAGATGGTCAAACGGGCTCAGCGAGCTTACTTCACTGAATCATCTTGAGTCTGAAGGGCTGTCCTTCCTTTTCCTGCTTGGTCCTGCTGTGCGCTGGACTTTGCAGAACTGATTCTGACCAGTGGGGAATGGCAGAGGGATTTGCTCATTTGGGGAATGAGCCCAGAGCTGGGGCAGGGGACAGGTGGAGGGACTTCTGTAGTGACACTAGTGACCCTCCTTCATCTCTGTTTCCAGATCCCGCGTCACCCCAGCTTTAAGAGGATTTTTTACGAGTTCTCAGACACCTCCCTCAAGAAGCTGCTGTCCACCCTGCGCAGCCAGAAGGCCTGTTCTTCCGATGGGGACAGGAGCCTGGCCAAGAGATCCTCCCCGTTTACCTTTGGCTTGGTTAATAAATTGTCTGGTAGTCAGAGCCGCACCATCTGCAGCCTCATGGGCTCCAGAGGCCACTGTGACCAGCACAATTACGCCCAGTTCCCGCAGGTGAGAGAGGGTGGGGAAGGACAGCATCCATACGGTACAAGGGACACGGGGCCATGGGCAGCCCTAAGTGGACCTGCCTTCTGTCTTCTTCCCTCTCTGCTCAGCCAGAACTTTTAGGATTCAGTTCAGATGCTACCTCTTCACTGAGGTCTCCCTAGACAATTCTAAACCAATTTGTTTCCCGAAACCTCACTGATTTTACTCCATTGTTAGCATCTTCTTTATTTGGCTCTGAGCTCCAATCGTAGGTCCATTTTCACACTTTGATGCCTATGTGGATATTGATTGGACCGACCCCTGTCTTAGCTAGCCTTGTTCTCTCATGGACTCTGCTACTTAGCTTCCCAATACCAGAGTGTGGTAAAATTCATGATAAAATTTAAGTGAGAAACAAAGTAAGGCTGTATTTCAAATAAGGGGTGGTGGGGGTGGAGGTAGGGAGGAGTCTCGTGGGCTGTTGGGTCCGGGTCATGCCCTGCCTGGGCCTCAGCTGACAAGCCCCACCCCGTGTCATTCTCATGAATGGGCATCATCCCCGAGGCCCTGGGGTGTCCCTGTTAGAGATAACACTGGTCACTGGTTTTTTAAGTGGACTTTGATAAACAGAAATCCCCCTCCCTTCAGTCCTTTTCCAATTCACTTGAGATAACTTAGACACTCGAGGCAGATCTGTCATGTGGCATCTACTGGGTGCAGGTGGGACTTTAAAGGAATCGGCTGTTCTGATTGTTGGGTTTGGACACACAGAACCAGAACTTGTGCACGCAAGGGGTCCCCTGGAACCAGAGCTTTTTGCACAGTTATCGTTAGTCGGAACACCCCCGTCTTCCTCTCCTGGAGAAGTCTCCAGAAAGCTGGTCTGACTGCAGGAGAGCTGGACCTCACCAATGCTCTGCTTTTTTTTCCTTGCGGGAACTCCTTGTGACTTTGGCCTCTCTTCTCTTGCCTCACTGTCTTCTCCCCAGGAACAGGGTGCCACAGATGCTTTGTCCTCGGAGTGGTGGAGTGACCTGAGTATTTTATAAAACGCAGGATGGAAAGATCCATTCCCTAACGTCCTCACCGGCCCTAACTAACTCCATGAATGGTTTCCCTCAACCATTCACCCACTCACTCACTCATTCACTCATCCATCCATCCATCCACTCATCCATTCACTCATTCACTTGTTCATTCATTCAGTCACTCACTCACTCACTCACTCACCCATTCATTCATTCATCTATCTATCTCTTCGCTCTCTCAAGTTCATCCAGCAGATACTGACTGTGCTTAGCTGGGGAAGTCCTGCTCCAAAGACTTCGCATACTAGTGGAAAAAAGACACATTTACAAATGATGAAAATAAACAGCCATCAAACGCCAAAGGAGAGGGAGCTGGAGCAAGCTGGCCTGGGAGGCTTCTGGGAGGCAGCAGGCCATGACTTCAAGCAGCAAGGACAGGAGGCTGAAGCTGGGGAGGAAGGACGAGCATGCAGTGAGGACAGAAGTGCTGCAAGGACTGAGTCTGGCGTGCAGTGTAGGCGGGGTAGTGAGAAGTCTGTTTGCTGAGCGAGACCCATAAATCACTGGGCCATGGCTAACCCTGTGTCCTTTTTCTCCTCCAGAACATCACAAGCCTGGAGGGCTTTCAGAGTCCAGACTGAAAGCCATGTCTAACACTGAGGTTCCCTGGAACTGGACAGGCATTGACAGGAGGCCGTGAAGATGGCTGTGATTTCCCAAGCCCGTGCTTCCCAAACATGCCTGGGGACAGAGCAGACGATCGTTCTGTGTCCATGCACTGTTGTCTGTGGATGCAAAACACCTTCTTCCATGAATGCTGGATGCAGAGGCCATGTTGGGCAGCCAGCACTGGGTGGGGTCAGAGGACCAGGCTCACCTGTTGAACCTTTCCCCAACAGGCTGTCATGCAGAAGCCCCCCGATGTTTCCCTAGACGTTAGCCTTAAAAGTAATTTTTTGTTTAATCTCCAACCATGCACTCAAACAGACGTGCCTGTATGTGCCACATGTCACTTATCCAGTCGGCTAAGATGGATTTGTAAATGCTTCCTGAGAACTCTGCAGGCCACAGACTGGGGAGACCTGTAGATTGGGGAACCCTTTCAACCTGTGTCCTGTAATTCTACGGCCAGAGGAATGAGGCTGATACCTGGACCTCTCCCTTCTCTTAGTGTTTGCTAAGAGTCAGTGAGAAATGGCTGTGAAGGGTTCTGAGTTCTTTTTTTGGTGATTGTTTTTTTGGCAGCACTGGGGTTTGAACTCAGGGCCTCACACTTGCCACACGGGCGATCTTACCGCTTGAGCCACTCTGCTGAAGAGATCTGAAGTTGTCTAGTGCCATGTGTGATTTTTATTACAGCTACATCTGGTTAGTTTTCAGGAAATGGAGGAGTCTTAAGCAGGTCTGGCATGGATAGTTGCGTGAGTGTTCACTGCTCAAGAGTCCCTTACCCGAGGGGCAAGTCATACTTTAGACGCTGTGGATTTATAGTTTTGTGGTCACAATTTTGCAGCTGCTGGCAAGAAAGTGTCTTAAGAGTTTTTTTGTTTTTGTTTTTATTTTTATTTTTGTATTTGCACAAAGGCGAGTGTGGGGCAATAGAGGCTCTGCTTTCTGCACAGCTGGTCAGGTTCGAAGCTTGACACAGGTGGGCAATTACCTTACGTCCATAGCTGCGTGCAGCTAACAGGGCTGCAGACAGACACACCCCTTGGCCATTGTCTAGAACCTGCTGGACAGCAGATTGAGCCTTGTCACCCTTGATGGATGTTGACTGCTGTGCTGAGCCTGTGGCAAGCACAGTGGGGCGGGAGGAGAATAAGGTCAGGAAGGGCCTGGGCTCTCAGATGGGGCTGGCTTCATTCAACGTTATTTAACCAATTCCTTATTTTTATTCAATTGTTCACTTTTTTTCTTTAAACTAATGCTAGAATTAAAACTGTTCATTTTGCTCTTTTTATCTTTTTTTTTTTGGTGGCACTGGGGCTTGAACTCAGGGTCTCATGCTTGCTAGGCAGGCGCTCTACCACTTGAGCCACTCCACCAGCCCGGGGCTGGCTTCAGACCCAAGGCAAAGCTTCAGGGAGTTCAGTCACACACACACACACACACACACACACACACACACACACACACACACACACTGACAGTCCTGTCATTGTCCTTGATGCTTCTGAGAAGTGGGTTGAGGTGAGCTACTTATGGATTCACCTTTGTCGGGACACAGCTCAACAGGTGAAGGAGAAGGAATTGTGAACGGAAGGTCTGGAACTTTTTGTACCTGGTGTCTTATTTGCAGTGATGTACTTTTGCTCTAGGAATATTTGCTATGAGTTCCCGATGCTGGCATCCAACTGACATTTTTTTATACTGTTATTTGAGCAAATAAAGAAATAGACTTGCACAGAGGTGTGATGTGGATTATTTTAGTGGAGGCCAGAAACCCCACTGCCACATCTGGGACAGTCTGTTGCCTGCAAAGCTGGGGGTTCTGCCTCCCCGTCCCTGCCTGGGGTCTCTCTGGACCTTCCCCATGTGTCCTATTCTTGGGGTGACAAATTGTTGAAGCGGTAAAAGGGGGGGATCCTGGATTGGTGTCAGGAGACCTGGGTTGTAGTTCAGTCATCTCTAGGCTGGTGACCTTGGGGGGGCAAGATAGTCACCTTCCTGCCCTGACTTTCCACAGCTCTGTGACTCTCAAAGTGACAGTTCATTGCATACCTGGGAAAATCTAGCTTGGTCTTGATGCTACATTATCTCTTATTAGTCCCTCAACTCTGGTGCCCCAATTCTGTCACCCTGTACCAGGGTAAAAGTGGGCAGAATGCAGTACCAGAGCTTTGGTCCAGAGAACAGGTCTCCATGGAAATGCATGGGGTGGGGCTCCATCCCTTCTGTGCACACGAGTTCCTCCTCCCCTCCCCCTCCCCATTCCTCCCCTCCCCCTCCGTCCCCCTTGCTAGGCGCCCTACAGCCACACCCCCAGCCCCAATATCTTCTTTTCAAACCACATTTCCTTAACCCAACCTCTGGCAGCTCATGTAATTCTCTGAGGGAGCAGGTAACCTTACACCCAATCCTTGGCTCAGACAGGAGGAAAGAGACTCAGAGTAGGATGTGTGTTGTTCAAGGTCACTCAGCAGTTACAGACAGAACCAGGTCAGGCTGTTTTAGTGCCTTAGACTCCGTGGTCTAATCCACTGGATTTGTTATGCAACCAGTGTTTATCGAGCACTTACAATGTGCCAGGTACATTGTCACAGGTGGGAAAGACATGGCACCTGCACTTGGGGTGCTCTCAGACCCCACCGGCAATGGGGATTTTGTGCTAGTAAGAATGGAGGAAGTGGGACACAGGGTAGGGGTGCTGTGTAGGGTGGGCCTCCTCACCTCACACTAAGGACACTTTTAGGGAACAGTGAGTATACACGAGATCTTGCTGCTTTCAAAGTCTGTTAAAAGATGGACAAGTGACACTGTGACACAATTAATTTCCTTCCTCTGAGAAGCCAGGAGGTTAATGGGTGAGAGACGAGGGGGTCAGCCAAGCTCAGACAAAGGGAGGTGACAGCCAGTTACAGGTGGTTGCGCTGCAGGTGTTGTTTAGACACACCTGGGGACATCGGCAGGCCTCACCCGGGAGCCAGCAAGACCTCCTTTCAAAGAGCAGTGCTGGGCGCAAGGAAAACAACCCACGAGTGTTGATTAGAAGAAGAGAGAGAGAAAAAGGAGAGAGGAAGTAACCAGGGTTTAGGAAATACAAACAGACTTAGCAAATAAAAACACAGGCTGCCCAGCTGAAGGTGATTGTGCATATTTGAATTGCGACACTGGGGGCACACTTCTACCAAAATAATTATTCCGAGTTTATCTGAAATTCGAGTTTTGGCAACTCCAGAACTAACACAAGAACAGTTCTCTTAGTTTCTTCGAAACAAGAGAATTGGCGGAAGTGAGGGAAAATCTGAGCAATTTTCTGATCTTGAAACATAACTGACGTCCAAAGCGTGTGGGTTCAGAAATGGCTGACGAGGGCATTTTTATTAAGTGCCATTCCTCTGTGCCCAGGGAGTGAGAATTCCCTGTGGATTACAGGCCTCAGGCCACCACAATGTCAAAGCCACGCCTGGATGAAAGGCCGCTCAGCCGGCCTCTTCCTCCCACGACAGCTCCAGGGCCACAGCGTATCCAAGGCTGCAGGACACCTGGGACCTTGGATCCCCCTCGGCTCTCTCAAAGGCACATTCTGTCCATATTTTGAAATGGCCATTAATGGTCGGTTGGCTTCCCAGGGCCTGCATTTATATGACCTGTGTCCTGGGTGACCAAGTCAGCTCACTGTTATTCTCCACCCATGGTTCTAGGCTTTGCATTCTGGGATTTGTTAAGCAAATGTGGTTGGAGGCTTCCTTCCCGGGCCTGGCTGTGGGGGTGAGGGGTCCCCTCTCTGGGGGGCAGTGGGACACAGCTTTTTCTGTCCAGGTGGAAACACTGGGACTCAGGGTGTCTTTCTAGTGGAATGTTTGCATTGAGGTGTGAATGGCAGACAGTCTACATTTGTTGGTGCTGGGCGAGGAGACGTCTGGTCTCCTAGTTCCTTGACATCTTCCTTCACCAAACGAAGACTCTGGAAGTCCAGGGTGGCCGGTCTTCATGGCCCACCACATAATCCCTGGGACCACCTGCATGCCAGGACCCCTCCATCAGGCGATCACAGGGGGAGATTTGAGGGACCTCCATCAGGCGATCACAGGGGGAGATTTGAGGGGAGGGTCCAGAGATTCCACGTGGAGCCCTAGTGAACTTTGAGAGTTAGAAACAAAATGAAAGGACTTGGTCTCTGGATGCAACAGGAAACAGGAAAGTGTGTCCTTGACTCCATCCTGCTGAACCCTGAGTTTGTCCTATGGAGCTAGGGAGCTGGGATGACCTGGCCAAGCATGGAGGGAGGTCTAGAGCCCGGCTGGTGTTGATGTCCATCCATCTATCCGTCCATCCACAGCAGGGTAGGAGGAAGCCAGGGCTGGTCCCACAAGAAGACTCTCACCCTGGGGAAACAGATGCTCTGCACCATCAGGCAGTCATGGTGTCATTAGACTCCGATGGGCCTGGAGTGTGCTTAGGGCAGTGGGTGAGGCGAGGCCTGGGCTCCTCAGGTTCTCTCCTGTTCATGCACCGGAGTTCTCTCTTGGCTCACAGCTTCCTAGGAAAAGGACATGAGCCACTGTTTCAGAGTCCTCCCATCCAGGGCATCCCTAGCCTTAATCCCACAGAGACTTCCGTCCCTGGGGCAGCCCTAAGCAAGCTGCTGGGCCTGTGATCACCAACCCTATGTGTGGAAATTAGAAATCTGGTTTTGTATCAAAAGTCACTTGGAGGTCCGCTGCTGCTCTGAAAATGTAATTCTGTGCTGAGAGGTGATAAAAGGTGTTTGAGAGCTTATTCTGTTTACACAAGTTCAACTGCTTCATGGTGATTCGGGAAGGGGAAGGAGTGGAGTGGTCTCTAGGTCTTGAGTATAGGTCGCACACTATACAAGAACATGGTGCTGCTGGGTGTGGTGATGCATGCCTATAATCCCAGCTACTCGGGTGACAGAGGTAGGAAGATCCAGGCCCCAGGCTGGCTTGAGCAAAAGTATGAGTCCCTATCTGAAAAATAAACTAAGAACAAAAGGACAGGGGGAATTCTGGGACAGGTGGGGTCTGGCCTCAGGGGACTCCTGGTGAGTTCCACACCTCAGGGCAGCTGTATTCCTGGATCTGCTGGGATGAGGCCTGTAGGTGACCCAGATTTCCTCAGAAGTGGATCGCAGAGGGCAGTCGGGTGGACAGGGAGCAGACCTGGATGCAGGAAGCCGAGGAGAAAAAAAGACAAAAGGGACAATCAGAAGACCTGCTGTGTGACCCAGGGTAAGTCACTTGCCCTCTCTGGGGTGTGACCCCGAAGAGCCTGCTGGGATGGGGACTTGCACATTCTTGAACGATTTTCAAATCTGTCACTCTGTTGTGTAAATCGTGGGGTGACTCCCTGGCACCACACAGGAGGTCCAGCCCCATTAACAGGGCAGCCAGATCTTCCCCTGCTGTGTTTCCAAGGCCCCTCCCTGCCTCCATGGGACTGGCGTCTGCCCACCCCCCTCACCTCCTCCAGGAAGCCCTCCCAAGACTCTCCAGCTAAAAAGGTGAGCTGCCTCCCCTCTGCCCTTCATCCTATTCTAGGCCAGTGGTTCTCAAACCAGCTCCACGAAATACACACAGCTGGGTACGCCCAGTTTCTTAGTCAAGAGGCCCAGGCTGGACCCAAGGATTCAAGGTTTAACACACTGCCAGGTAACGCTGGTGCCGCTGACTCTGGGGTCACAGTTGGAGACACTACAGGCAGATTCGAGGCTCATCTACTGCCTGTCATTCTCCCTCCAGCCAACAGAGGGCAGACCAGAGGCCACCGTATGTCCCAAACAACAGGGACTCAGTTACATTTGAAGCTGTGTTCCCAAGTCAGTGAATGCAAGAGTGCTATGAAAGAAAAACAGAAAATCAGGCGTGACAAGTGACAGAGTTCTACCTGAGCACGAGCTGTTACTATTTACCATGGGTCAAGTTCAGTGTCAGGCTTTGCACTGAATGTGCCACAGAACCCCATCCAGCATGGAGCTGGAGGATTTTATTGCACGTGAGGCCGTTGCTGTGTGTTTTGGTTGGTGCCTTTACCTCTCTGAGTCTTTCCCACAGAGTTAAAATAATTCGTTAAATGTGGAATGGAGTCCTGGTTTTAGTTGAGTGAATGAATGATCTTAGTTGAGTGAATTTTTACAAATCCTAATCCTGTCGGAAAGACGTTGCCAGGCCCACCAGACATCAAAGCACACAAGAAGCCCAGAGGTAAAGCGTCCAGGCCCATGGTGGGACAGCAGGCCCGACACCAAGGACAGACCAGGACACCAGACAGGGCTGTTCAAATCAGCAGGAATGGGAGGGGCGATGGTGGTTAATTAGCTAATTAGGTGACATTAAATGTAGTAGTTTGCATCAGTCAGTTTGAACTAAGAGCCAACCACTGGCACAGGTCCACCGTCTCTTCTCTGCAGCCTTTTGGGCAGAGGGCTGGTGGGGAGGCTCAAGTGGTGGAGCGCCTGCCTAGCAAGTGGGAGGCCCTGAGTTCTAACCCCAGCACCGCCAAAAAATTAATTAATGAGTCTCCTGGAGGGTAGAGATGTGCTTTTGAATTTGGAATTTTTCAGATTTTGGAAAAAGAAAAGTAGTGCAGTGTCTTATGTTTTGTCACTCCCCGGCGGGGCCTGGGGTGCCTCACAGTGAAACGCTCGTTACATGGGGTAAAAAAAATCACAAACAATGTCATATCTGTACAGGGAGCGTTCGCTGTCAGAGTAGCCACAGATTTTTTTTCTCAGAAGTTCAGTTCTGGAGTCATAGGTAAGGCCTGGTGGGCCAGTGCCATGTTGGTGACTGTGTGGGTGGGAGGTCCACTCTCTGGTAAACTCTGCAAAACTGCTAATCCCCTTGAGGGCAATTTGATAACATGCAGCAAAACTTTCCCAAAACAGGTCTTTTTTGGCAGCACTGGGACTCGAACTCAGGACCTCCCACTTACAAGGCAAGCACTTTACCACGTGAGCTGCTCCTCCAGCCCTTTTTGCTTCTGCTTCTTTTTCAGGTTGAGTGCTGTACTTTCCCTTCCCAATCCCAAGGCTGGCCTTGGACCTTGATCTTCCTATCTCTGCCTCCCGTGTAGTTGGGATTACAGCCATGTGTCACCATGCTCAGCCAGTTGAATACCTTTTGACCTAGGAATTCCAGTTCTAGAAATGTCTACAAAGGGACAATTTTGTGTATGTGCATAGGGTGTGATCATGGGGACGCTTACCATAGTAACGCTGGTAAGAGCAAAAAGCTGGAAACAAGCTCCATGTCCACCCATAGGGGACTGACGGAATAAACACTGATACACGCCCAAGGGAATACCACGGATCCATTACTAACTCAGTAAATGTGCACCTCATATGGAAAGAAACAGTGCTTCAAAAGTAGACTTTAAAACAGCATGGAGCACTCGAAGCAAATCAAAAACACACGTCTGTCTGCTTGCGCTTAGAAAATATGGAAGGGTATTCACCAAAATACTAACTTCTGGGTGGTGGAGTTTCTGGCAATTTTTACTTTTATTTATGCTTTCCTAAATTTGAAGTGTTTTTTTTTTTTTTTTTTTTGTAATGAGTGCATGTTTCTAAAACTGGAAAAAGCACTAAGATTGCTCACTCTAGAAAGAAGGCAGGTATAAAACAAAAAACATGGGTAGTGTTTCTTGTAAGCGACACACTGTGCTACAGCAGAGCTATGGGTTGGGCATGGCAGCACACGCCTGTAGCTCCAGCTACTCAGGAGGTGGAGGTAGATGGATTGTGGTCTGAGCCCGCCCAGGCAAAAGCTTGGGACTTTATTTGAAAAACAGACTAAAAGTAAAAAGCTAAAGAGTGGGGGGCACGGCTCAAGTGGTAGAGGGCTTGCATAGCAAGTAGAAGGACCTGCGTTTAAATCCTGGTGCCACACACAAAAAAAGGGTAGTGATTGCCCTGGCCAGGGTCAGGAAGCAGGTGACAGGACCAGACACTGCGTCCCTCCTCCATGCACTCGGGCTCACTCTCTGCTCCTTCCTCTGGTGCTGCAGGTTTGCCATGCCCCAGACTCACACGAATGTCCCCTGCAGGCCTGGGCACCGGTCCTACGGCCTGACGTGTCTGCGGTCCCAGAGTTGCACAGAAAGCGCGTTCAGCCTCTCATCCCAGCCCCAAATAACCAAGGGGGAAGGCAGGGTTAGATGTTGTAGGGAGAATTTGACTCCACGAAGTAGTGAGTGCCCAAACGGAGAGACTGGGCTGACCCAACCACTGCTCCTTCTCCTGGGAGCCTCTGCGTCCAGAGACCAGCGACGGCCAACTGGCCAACTCGGGTTAGATCCTGGCTCTCCTTCCTCCACCTCCAACTGTGTGACTTTGGGCGTGTTGCTTAGCCTCTCTGTGCTATATGCATGAGTACTGCATACGCTTTAGCTGTTGTTATTGCACTCACATTTGAATGGGGGAGACTATGGAACTCAAAGAAGAGACTGTCTTGTGGAGGACATTTGGAGAGCCTGGCAGACATGGTACACCCAGGAGGCTTGGGGACAGGGTGGGTCTCCCCCTTTTCCCTGGGTAGCCTGTAGTTGTATTAGTCAGTTTTATCACAGCTGTGACAAAATACCTGACAGAAACAACTTAGGGAAGGGAGGATTGATTTTGGTTCTTGGTTTCAGAGGGCTCAGTCCCTGGTCACTTACATCTGTGTTTCTGGGCCTGTGGACAGAGCATCATGGTGACAGGAGTGTGTGGCACACAGGAAGCAGAGCAACAACAGGAGGGGCAAGACTGGTCCCAAGCCACGCCCCTGTGACCTACTTTCTTCTGGCTCCACCTTCCTCAGTTTCACCTCCCAGTAATCTATTTGAAATTTGAATCCACCCATGGATTAAGCCTCATGATCTAATCCTCTCTGGAAACGCCCTCGAAGTCACACCCAGAGAAGCACCTGGGTGCTTCTCAGGCAGTCAAGTTGACAGTCAAGATGAACCATCACAGCAGTCTTTCCACTTGGAAAGTGAAGGCCAGGCATGGTGGCTCATGCCCCTGCTACATCAGGAGGACGATGGCTCGAGGCCAGCAGCATGGGCAAAAAGTGAGACCCTATCTCAAAAAACCCAACACATGCACAGTCGCACACAAAAGGGCTGGTGGTGTGGGTCATGTGGCGGATCGCCTGCCTAACAAGCATTAGGCCTTGAGTTTGAACCCCTGTACTGCCCATTTGGACCAGTTACACAGTCAGGACTCAGAATCACGGAACATTTGTTGGAGGAGAATGATGGCAGCAGAGAAAGGTGAGGCTGCTGCCCATATCCAGCCCTGCTCCTGAGGAGGACATGGCAGGCGTAAGTGCTGGCCCTGGAACAAAAGGGACGTGGCACAGAATCAACCCTGACCTTCACCTCAGCCCAGGCAGAGCTATCTCAGACGACCCATGGACACATGAAAGAGAGGTGCTTGCTGTCTTAATCCACTGAGAGCAGGGGTTGCTTGTTACGCAGCTGTACCGAAGCAGTGATAACTGACTTACACAACCGGCTCAAGGATGAGTGTGAACCCCTGATTAAACCACAGCTGCAAGTCGTGTATGGAACATCTGCCCTTTAGTTTTGTTCTAGCCTCTCTTCTCTCATGGACAGGGTGTCATTTGGGGACTAGGAGTTTGCTCAGGACTAGCCAGTGAATGTGACAGTGTCTCTTGTGACTGTCATGAAATGAGCAGATTTCTCTTGGATCACCCTCCACCCTCTCCCTCCGCTTCCCTGACAGTAGACCTCTCCTTCCAGAAGGTTCTGTAAAGCCATCAACAGCCACCTGCCTAGCACAGGGCATGTGACCCCCTGACTCTGTGACCCTGGTTTTTAACCATGGCCTATTTCCTAGAAAGCTCTTTAACCCCAGCACATTCATCCATCAAGACAGTGCTGGCCTCCCGGCACCTTCCTGCTGCCCTGCCACAGTAGGGTGAGACCTGGCCTGGAGTCAAGGAGCCCGAGGCTGGGCCTGGCCGCCAGCTGGTCCTCCCAGCCCCAGGGGTACTCCGCACACCCTCAGCTGACCCCCTCCCAAGTTCTCATGGATGAACCTGACAGAGAGATGTCCTCAGAGGTCAGGGAGGACTTGGGGCTGAAGACCAAGGAACGGAGTGAGAACAAACCCAGGCCCCCCGACACTTCCATCTGCCCCGTGGGTCCCCGCACCTCCCTGCCCACCTTTAATCCAGAACGGGATGTGAAGGTTTGACCTGGTCGGCTCCAGGAACCTCCTTCCACTACCCTCCAGGCACGGCCCTGCCCGGGTTCTGGTGTGCTTCTGGCTACCAGGATGAGACTGATCCTCACCTACCTGACAAACCCCTGAGCCTCCCTGGGGACCCCACTTGGGACAGGGGTAACCAGGAAGGATGTTACTTTGATGGACTCTCAATAAAAGCCTGAAGCAAATAAAATAGAAGTGTGGCGCTATTCCACTCAGAAAATACTCTGATAATCCAGTGAGACAGCTTAGCTAACACTCGGCTTGGTTTGGTTAGACTTGTGGGTGTGTCTGTCCATCTGCATCTGCCTTTAGTAAGTGTTAGGAGGCGGGGCATGGTGTGCATGTCTGTAATCCCAGCACTCGGGAGGCTGAGGCGGGAAGGCTAGGAATTCAAGGCCAGCCTGGACTACAACGTGAGTTCCAGGTCAGCCTGGACCTTGGTCTCAAATTAATTCACTCATTAATTTTAAAAGATTATGATTCAGCAAAAATAATAAAACTTGGTTTGGACAAGGTCCAAAGCTGAGCACATTCGACCTTATTCTTCTTGTCTTTGGCCTTGAGCTGGGTTTGGGGAAACCCTTGAAAGTCTGGGATGGGGTTAATTCGTTTTGATGTTGCCAGGCCTGGGAGAGTTGCTCCTGGAGGAGGCCGAGACGCCAGGACTCCGTGACAGCACAACATGGAGGCAATGGAAGGGGCCCCTGGGGTCTCAGTTGTGTGCTGGCCGTGGTGGGCTGTGCCTGTTGAGGGTCAAGCAGTCAGCCACGTGTCTAACTTGGTTTTGGGGGTGCAGTACTGAAATGTGAGCTCAGGGCCTTGTGTGTACTTAGGCAGGAGACTGCTTGTTGAGCCAGGCCTTTTTTGGCTTTAGTTATTTTTCAGCTCAGGTCTCAAGCTCTTTGCCTGGATCAACCTCTAACCATGATCCTCCTCTATACACCTCTTGAATAACAGATTATAGATACGCACCACCACCCCTAGCTTGTTTGTTGAGATGGGGCCTCATTAACTTTTTTTTTTTTTTTGGCCCGGCTGGCCTCAAACCTTGATCCTCCTGATCTTTGAGATCAGGGATTTCATGTCAGGGGTACCTAACCCCAAAGCCCAGGCACCTCACCCCCTTTCTCCTGGCTCCCCCATACTCTTTGGAAGGTCCCAGTGGATGGGTCCAAGCTGCTTCCCCCGGGACTTGAGAAATGTTAGCGACACTCACTGTGCTTTTCCGCCTTCTGTTTTGGACCGTGGATGCCGGGGAAAGCATTTTCTGGTGCCATTTGTCTTCTGTTTGTTCTTGAACACTTTGCTCACCCAGCTTGAGTCGGCAGCAGTGCTCTCCCTGGGCAGGAGATGAAGGGGTGCTTTGTTAACGGCCTGAACAGGGCACCACCACCTGGGTCCTGCCAGCTCAGGGGACAGGCACGCCAGTGCCACTCAGTCCGAGGTCCCCAGCAGACGACTCTGGTTATGGACGACCATTTACCTAAGTAACACCAGGCATCTGCTCGGGGGCACTCAGGCTTTAAAGATGCCAGCCTGAGGAAATTTCACTCATGTGAACACAGCACAATTTGTGCCTAGGGTCAAAATTATTAAATTTATACAAACCCTGCCAAGAAGTCTTATGGATGAAATTAGACAATGTGTGAAGCAGGTTGGTCTCAGTAAGTGTGACATGACACACAGCGGACATCAAAGGTGGGAGAGACTCAGGCCCTGCCCTCCCCTCCCTGCAGGGACAGCCCAGCTGCTGCCCCCAGAGCTGCCCCAGGGAGGGACGAAGGTGTGGGTTGGGGGTGGGGGAATACACTTGGCCTGTCCTCCGGTCCTCTGCTGTCCCATTTGCCAGCAAGGGAGCCTGGGTGGATCTTTTGTTTGGTGGGACTGGGGTTTGAACTCAGGGCTTTGCTCTTGCAAAGCAGGCGCTCTACCACTTCAGCCCCTCCCCCAACCCCCAGAGATCTTTAAACAATACAGATCCCTGGTGCGCTGAGTTCTGCAAAGAGAGTGATGGAGTCCAAGCTCACGCCCCAGACCACTGACGAATACTGTAAAGTGACTTTCTGGGTCCTGATGACGATACATAATTTGGACAGAGGAGGCCTTTGAGAGTCGGGGGCTCCCGAGGCCAGGCCAGGGTGCTGGGTAGCCCCAACTGTGACTTCACCAGCGAGTGAAAGGGATGGGAGTGCGCTCTCGAGGAGCACTTCCCCAGTGGATCCCACAGGGTGACACACTGTGTGACCAGGTGAGTTCCCACGCACTGTGTGCAGGGAAACGGGGCTTGTGAGATGCAAAGGCTGGACTGTCACCACGCGCGCTAGGACAGGACCTTAGCGGGCCCCTGCCCTGACCAGGGGAGAATAGTCCCAGGTGAAGGAGAACTCACGTGATGTTGACCTTGCTGCCGGCTTCCTTCCCGGTGACCTGGACTGGAAGTGCGGTGCTTTTTGCGTGGGAACGGGTGCGGGGAGCTGCAGCCAAAGGGAAGACACAGGAGCTTGAGCAAGCGGGGTGCTTGGTCCTGTTTTGTTTTTCTTGCAATGGGGCCTCACGCTTGCTAGGCAGGCACTCTGCCACTTGAGGCACTCCACCAGCCCTTTTTAGTGTTGGGTTTCTTTGAGATAGAGTCTCACATCTCCTGCCCGCTCCTCAGCCCCCGTACCCCCCCTTCCCCCTCTCCCCCCCTCGCCCGGGCTGGCTTCAAACTTCAGTCCTACTGATCTCTGCCTTCCTAGTAGCTGGGGTTACAGGTGTGAGCCACTAGCACCGGCTCAGTTCCTGGTCGTTTTGGAACAAGGGTGAGTGAGTGTGCATAAAAACAGGACAGTCTCTAGAAGTCTGTGGCTCTCAGATCCTCATGTTAACCTTGCTGAATCTAACGGGGACCCAGGGCAGTGGCTGTGGAGGAGGGGTGCTGCTGACCTTTGATGTGACATCAGCAGCACTTCCCTCCCCCAAAGCTGTGTTAGGGGACATCTTCAGGAAAATCCCCTGCTGTATGTAAGGTTTTTTCTTATGTTATCTTGGAATAGACAATGTTAATAGTTCATTAATATTAAATATTAAAAGTCTTTGCATGTTTTTGGATAAGTATGGGGTACATACTATATGAAGATTAATTATTGGATTATAAAGCTAATTGTTATACTACATAATTAATATACACAAATAAAAGTAATATAAAAAAATTCAGATTCCCCTACCTGACATTCTTTAGTTAGGGACCTCTTAGATGGCGCTAGCTGTCCCAAATTTACTTGCAGTGAGGGCTGTCCCTTGCCCCTGGATTTTCCTAGGGCCTTTTGTGAGCTCCCCTCCCCCAATACCACCCTGGCCATCGCTCAGTGAAGGACAGCACTAAACCAGGGAGGGGGAGGGCGTGCGCTGTCACAGGTGGCCAGGATGTCACTGTCAAGGCTGTGACAGGGTTACCTAACCCCTGTCCTATTGCAGTCAGAGCCAGACGACTCTTTGTTTAGGGCTGGCCTGTGCACTGTAGGATATTTCAACAGCATCCCTGGCCTCCACTCAGTGACGGCAGCCAAAAGCATTGCCAAACACTGCTCACCTCTCCTGGGACCAGAATCACCCCCACCTGAGATCCTCGGGCTCTGTCTGCTCCGGTGCAAAAAAGAATCGCCAGAACAGGGCAGGGCTCTCAGGCACCCAAAGGTGGCCTCCCTCAGCCCAGGAGCGAGTGACAAACAACTGCTTTAGCAGGAATAGGGAGTGCGTGAAACGCTGATGTCTTCTGATGCTTTTGTCTCATTGTGGTTAAAAGAATCAAAGCAAACCTGTTCCAGAGAAAGGCTGTTGACTTGGGGCAGATCCCCAAAGAAGGAAACCGTGCAGACCCGTGCTGGTTACCACAGTAACTGTGGAAGTTTGGCTGGTGGACCAGGACAACTGGGCTTCCGTCCACCGGGACTCTTTTCTCTCCAGTCCCCACCCAGCCGATCTGTGATGGTCACACTCATCTCCCTCATCCTGACAGCTCCTTCCCTGAGACACCCTATCTACTCTGCCCCATCCAGTCTCACAAACCACGAGGGTCTAAACCCTGCTCTCTCCCTTCTTTTGGTGGTGTTGAGATTTGAATTCAGGGCAGGCATGCTACAGCTTGAGCCATGCCTTCAGTCCTTTTCAGTGATTTTTTTCAGATAGGTTCTTGAGTTTTTACTAGGGGCTGGCCTCAGACTGCCATCCTCCTATACAGGGCTTTACATACTTGAATTTATTGCCTACCTCCCTACCTTGGGGCTCCCTCTATCGTCGGGATGACAGGCTTACACCACCAGGCTCAACTTGTTTGTTGAGATAGGGTCTCACTAGCTTTTTGCATGGACTGGCCTCAAATCTCCACCTCCTGATTTCCCTCTCCCAAGTAGCTGGACTTGTACATTTCAGCTGTTCACACAAGTGGGCAGGAGAAGCCCCCGAGGGGCCTGTAAAAGACAGACCTCCGGACTTACGACTTGTGTGGTGGCCCGGAAGCTGTCATCCCAGGAGACACTTCTCCTACCTCTGGGCGGCCACACTTGGAGAACCGCTGAGCGATCACAGTGCCCCCTGGTGGTGGCCGGTCCTCACAGAGCAGAGCTGCTGAAACTCCTGCTAGGGTCCCCAGGCCACCCCTAAAGCAGTGGTTGTCTGTGCCCCATGGAGAGGAGCCAGGACGGGCCCTACCTTGGGGCTGTCCTGGGCCTTGCTCCTCCACACATGGCCCTGCAGGTGACGTTGAAGGGGAAGCTTGGGGTGACGTTTGAGGTGCTTCCATAGCTGAGGGCCCCAGCGATGGCCTGGCTGACAGGGATGCCGGGGAAGGTGGGGATTTGAGTGGCAGTCCAGATGGGTGTTGCTGCTGCTGAGGTGACGCAGGTGACAGCCCTGGGGGTGTGATGGGCAGTGAGGAGCCAGGCGTGGAGCTCGGTGGTGAGTGTGGAGCTGAGAGCGAGGCAGGTGACACAGGCAGCGAGACACCTGGAGTCTGTGCTGGGGCTGAGGCCAGTGGCAAGGCAGGTGACTCTGCAGGCCCCTCACATGTGGACTCGGGTGTCTGCCCAGGTGGGGACACAGGCAGATGGTCAGCCCTTCCATCCCCTCTGGGAGTTCCCTTGGTGTCACGCTGTGCGGATTCTTCCAGACTGGCCCGCTGTGCTTGGTGGCTCGGCTGACTGCGTTCAGGACACACACTGCCAAGGGCAAGCTCTATCTGGCAGTACACCTCCACCCGGGGGAAAATCACTCTCTTGGAGGGAGAATTGAGGTAAGCAGCATCTAGGACAAACAACAGCATGGGTCAAGGTGGCACTAACGCATCCCCAGTATCAGGACGGCACCTGCAAAAACGGCTCCCCAGTCACCTTCATAAATAGGAGTGGTGCTTTCAATGGCCTTGCTGTTGCTGTACTGGGGGTTGAACTCAGGTCCTTGCACTTGCCAGGCAGGCGCTCTACCACTTGAGCTGCGCCCCTAGTCCTTTTGCTCTTACTTTGTTTTACAGGTAGGGCCTCCGGGTGGCCTTGTATGGTGATCCCACTATTTCTGTCTCCAGAGTAGCTGGGATTACAGGCATGTGACATCATGCCTGGCTTGTTTTTGAGATAGTCTTGCGCTAAATTTTCTTTGGCTGGCCTTACTTGAATTTATAGTGAGAAAAACAAATGTGATGTATCCTGGATTCTTGGAGCTCAGTCTAGTGTGGGGAGGCAGGCATGGCTGCCCAAGTAGTCCAAAGAAATCTAAGAAACAAACTAGGGCCTGAGTGAACAATAATGTATCCATGATCACTCACTAATTGTGACAATGTACCATATTTTATATAAAATATAACATCTAATTTAACATCTAATAATATCTAATAATGTGATACATGAGTAATAGGGCAGGGAGGATAAGGAAGCCCCCTGTACTGTTTTCACAATTTTTCTCTAGATCTAAAACGATTCTCAAAAAAAGCAAAGCTTATGAAACATCTGGATGGGGGATGGGCAAAAGAACTGAACAGTCACTTCTTCACCGAAGAAGACACCGATGGCAAAGAAGCAAATTCAAAGATGTCAGTCAATAGAGAAATGCAAATTAAAACCACGAGCACACACCTGTTCGAATGGCTAAGATCAAGTGACTGACCAAGTGTGGGTGAGAATTTGTGAAGCCGGGACTCTCAGCCCCCGCTGGTGGTATGGCCACTTTGGAAAACACCTTGCCAGCGACCTAACAAGCCAAACATGGATTCTGGCTCTACATCCAAAAGAACTGAAAACAGGATCCCAAGGAGAAAGTCACAAACCCACGTTCATTGCACTGTTACTCCCAACTGGCAAAAGGTGGAAGCAGCCCAACCGATTGTCCATGGTTGGGATAAAGAACACAACAGAACACAACAGCCTTAAAACAGAAATACATGCCAGGGCGACCTGAGGCCTCTATGCTCAGTGAAATAAGTAGATCACAAAGGGACAGAGATTGCCTGATCCCACTTCTCTGAGATATACAAAGAAGTCAGACTCAGAAACAGAGGAGAATGGCAGGTGTTCAGGAAAGGTGGAGTCCTTGAGCAGTGGAAATAGTCCTAGTTTTGCAAGACGAGAAAGTTCTAGAATTCAGTTGCACAAGAATCAGAATAGATTTAACACTGTACACTTAACAATGTTTAAGATAAGCCAGGCGCTGATGGCTCACGCCTGTAATCCTAGCTACTTGGGAGGCTGAGATTGGGAGGATTGGGAGGCCAGGCTGGGCAAAAAAGTTCTGGAGACCCCATCTAAACAGGAGGATCAAGGTCCAGTCTTGCCTGGGCAAAAAATGGACTCTATGTCCAAAATCAGCAGAGCCAAAAGGGCTGGAGTGCCTCGTAGCAAGCGTGAAGTCCTGGGTTCAATCCCCAGTATTGCAAAGGAAAAAATATTTAAAATAGCTATGTGTGTTTTTCACTACAATGAAAATATGCGTGTATGTATATTAAATATACACGCACCACACGATCCGGTTACTCTGCCCGTGGGTGTTTACCCACGAGGAAGGAACACATGTCCACGCAGACTTCCGTGCACAGAAGTTTCACTCTCAACAGCCCGACTGGGAAACAGCCTAAGTGTCCAGCAGCAGGTGACCAGTGACTGAGCTGTCGTGTACTCATAATGGAATTGAATGTGCAAAAAAAGGGGAATGAGCTGTTTATACTTGCAACTACGTGCAGGAGTTCCAGAGTAAATAATTACGCACAGGGAAAGAATCCAGAGAAAAGAGTTCAATCTGTAAGTCAAACGAACCCACAACGGTGGAGAGCAGACCGGCGGCTGCTTAGGAATGAGGGCAGAGGAGACATGGAGCAGGGAGAGAGAGAGAAGCAGAGACAGACAGACAGAGACAGAGAGTCAGAGGCAGGAACAGAGAGAGAGTGAGACAGAGACTCAGAGACAGAAAAAGAGACATACACAGAGAGTCGGAGAGAGGCGGAGAGGCAAAGACAGAGAGAGAGAGAGAGAGAGAGAGGGAAAGAGAGAGAGAGAGAGAGAGAAGGAAAGAAAGAGAGAGAGAGAGAGAGAGAGAGGGAAAGAAAGAGAGAGAGAGAGCTGTCAAATGGTGCAAAGGAGGGAGGGAGGGAGGGAGGGTGGCCTGGGTGGGCATGCTGATGCGGTGGTATTCGGGATTCAGACCCGGCATCCTCTGAGCGCGGCCTCCCGCGTCCGTCTGTGCCGGGACGTGCCCTTCACCTTGGCAGAGGCTGCGGAGGCCTTGGTGGGGGCGGGGGGGGCGGGGGGGGGGCAGCGCGCTGGCCTGCAGAGCAATTGTGTGATATGAGCGAGGCCTTGGGAGGGAGGAGGAGCAGCGGAGGGTGACAGCTTTTGGGGTGCGGCTTCCTACTGGGGGTGACCCCCATCAGAAAGCACTCGGATTGCAGGTGGGGACTAAGAGCAGGACTCTGGGCGCCCACGGTATTTCTCTGGATGTGTCAGCAGCTCCTGCTCACATCGGAGGCCAGGAGAAGAATCTGGTTCTGTCACATGGGAGAGGACTTGGCGGGGAGGTGTAGGCCGCAGGGACTCCCTTTGCCTGAGTTGCGCCTGTTCCCGCCTGGAGGGACTCCAGGGCCACTGCAGGCACCTGCCTCCCCATGCACTGCCTCCCCATGCACTGCCTCCATGATTTTGGTGGATCCTGGAAAGTCCACAGCCTGGTTTAAGGCCACGAGTCGCACCTGTGAAACCGCCCTCACCAGCTGTGGGCGGAAGGGTTGGGGGGCACAGGGTCCCCCAGAAGCAGGAAGGGTTCCTGAGCCTGGGAGAGAACAGGGCTGCTGAACACCCACTATGTAAGACCCCAGAACTTGTCCCTAGAGAACCAGAAAGAGCTTTGGAGGGGAAGACGGGTGTGGAGGTGGCCAGAGGTATACAGGGGTCTCCTGGGGGCAGTGAAGTGATGTCTGCTCCAAAATCCAGGTCTCAGCCCCCAATATGCACCGCCATTGCCGGGGGGGTGGAGGGGGCTCCCCAGCTGGTGGCTGAAAGGACCAAAGCCCCAGCCAGCACTTAGAGCTCAGTTTTCACAGCTGTCACCTGTGTACGTGTGGAGGAGATGCAGGGAGCACGAGGAGTCTGTCCTGCAGATAGGCGAGCATGGGGCCTGTCCGCGTGGCTCTGGTGCTCTGGGAGGAGCTGCCATCCGTCTGACATTGTGCCGGGCCTTAGGCCTTCAGTCCTCACAATGAAAATCCGAGGTAGGCTCCACTATTAACCCTCTTTTGCAGAGAAGGAACTGAGCCCCCGGGAGACCCCACAGTTAGTGAGTTCAGGAACTAGGCTATAAACACCCACCCCCCTTCTAAAGGATTAGGAAACCAAGACTCAGAGATGGGCAATAATTTTCCCACGGTCACACAGTATGGAGGGTGGAGTGAGGGACCCAGGATACTTGCTTTCGGGGTTCATGTTTTGTACATCCTGCTGTTTGTCTCCCCCAAGTCCCCCAAACCCCTTGATGGGAGAAAGGATAAAAGGAGCTGGAGTAAGCAGGAGGAAATTTTCAAGAAGCTGGGTGCCAGTGGCTCACGGCTATAATCCTAGCTACTCAGGAGGCAGAGATCAGGAGAATCACGGTTCAAAGCCAGCCCCAGGCAAATAGATCTCAAGACCCTATTTTGAAAATACCCATCACAAAAAAAGGACTGATGGAGTGGCTTAAGGTATAGGCCCTGAGTTCAAACCCCAGTACTGCAAAAAAAAAAAAAAAAGAAAAAAGTGAATATATCTTAGAGGAAAACCTCACTTAATCCTTAATCTCACCCTTAAACTGCAGTTTAAAGCTACACACACATAAATGCACCACAGTATTACATATAACAGGGAATATTTGAAAACTCAAAAGCATCAAGAAGCCAAGTTTTCTGTTCAACTGTGCGGGAATATTATACAACTGTCAACAAGACAGAGAGCACATGACAAAATGGAGAGAAGTTTCTGAGTAAGGGTCCTTTGATCCAGGAGTCTCTTTATGTGACTCCATGTTCTAAGGAGTTGACCATAAGTACAGAAAAACTTCGTATTTCTTTTAACAAGGACTCTTCACGGAGTTAAAGCACTTAATGTATGTCTTGGAATCATTCCATCCATGCTGCCAATGTGCCGAGGACCCGGGATCACCTTTCCAAACCATTATCAGCCCAGGGCTCTGATTCGTTGAACCATATGTCACTCAAAGACCTACAGGAATATAAACTACCCACATCCAGTCCCCTTTCCAGGCTGCTGGGTCCCTGTCCAGTGTTCTGGGGTTGTCCAGCCTTCCCTTCCTGTCCTGCCCCACTTGCCTCCTTCCTTCCCAGGACCCACTGGGTACTCACTCAGCCGCCTCAGGTACAGGACTGTGTCATCATAACCCCGGTAGTAGTAATCGTGCAGGATCTGGATGGGGACACCAAGAACAAGCAAGGCTGCAGAGACAGAGAGAGCCCCCGTACTGTCCCACCCAGAGAGGCCACTCCATCACTCTTGCACTTTACCAGATGGGCTTTTCAAAACGCACCCATCCACCGGCCATCCCTTGCTATCTTCAGGGAGCTGGGGAGCAGTTCCTGGTCACCTGGTGTGACACCCAGTTCCAAGCATGTCATTTACCCCCAGACAGGAGGAGGGGGACATGTTGGAGAACCCGGGAGGACACATTTGGGCAGAAAGACAGCAGAGTTTGCAGCCTGGGCTCAAGTCCCAGTGCTGTCACCTAGTGGCTGTGTGGCTGCAACTGCTCCCACTCTCAACCCCTCATCTGTCAGATGGGGATAGGATTGTAACTGTGCAGAGGATTCTGGAAGGTAAACAGGAAATTGCCCACCACGCCTCTTCTTTCCTGAGAAGGGGCAGATGGCAAATATTTTGGGCCTTGACAGCTACAGACAGTGTCCACTGTATGTTCTTTTAAAAAAAATTTTTACATTTTAAAAATGGAAAACCTGTTCTTAGCTCCAAGCTGTACAAAAATCAAGCCACAGACTAGATTTGGTCCATGGACTCTTAAGTTGCTGACCACTGCAGCTATAGGTTGCTTCAGTCCTCTGCTGTCAAAATGGAAGTGACCAGATAGCACCCACATCAATGGTTCTCTTGTCCTGTTTACAGGGGGAAACTGAGGCTAAGAGAACAGGGCCATTGTTCAAGGTCACGCAGCTACTTAGCAGCAAAGCCATGGTGCAGGACTACAAGGAAGTGTGAGGGGTCATTTGAAGGAAGGGGACACAGATGTAACTTGAGTGGCCCCCCTGGCTCCCGATCTCATCCCATCCCAGCCCTCTGTCCCTTGGCCCCTCCTGCCTCTCACCACCAGGTCGGGGGGGAAGAGCGCGTGCGTCATGCGTGCGATGTTCTCCAAGGAGAACTGGAAGGAGAAATTGCACAGACGGAAGTCATGGAAGATGGCAGGGCAGTCCCGGGGACAGATGTCCTGCTGCCCGCTGAAGGTGGAGATGGTGATGGAGTCCGTCCAGAAGGAGCAGGGCTGCATGCTTGTGAAGCCCCCGTCTATGTACCGCTGTTGGGGGACAGAGAGGCTCGTCTGGACCCAAGAGCTCCCCATCTAGGGACACAGCAGGGCCACAACGTCCTTTGGGACAAGCCCTGAGATGGGGGTCCTCGTGGATGAGGGCTGTGCCCAAGGTCACTTGGTGAGTCCACAGGCCACTCTCTGTCCCTGCACTGTCCTCCCTCTGCCGTATTAGTGGTGTTGGCCCTGGGAGATCCTGGCCTTTGTGTTGGTGTCCATACTTTGGATAAAGCAGGAGGCCAAGCCCCCTGCCCCTGCCTCACCTCCCGCCCCTCCCCCCAGGGGGCTTCTGCTTCCTCGCCTATGAATGCAACAGAAGATGACAAATACCAGGGCTCTGCCTCTTGGGGTGTCTGAGAACACCCTGCTGACACGCAATGCGGGCTCCATCTACTTAACGCCTGGGGTCAGAGTGGGACCCGCAGCACTGGCACCTCTGAGGGTGAGGAGGGGCGCAGAGCCTCTGCCCACTCGGACCTACTGGATCACAATCCCCATCATTTTATGAGACCCCAAGTGATTCATGAAAGAAGGTCTGAGCACTGGCCTAGGTGACCCTGAAGATTCCCCATTGTTCAAGGTCCCATATCTTGGCATTCCAGGGACGGTCACTCTTGTGTAAGTCTGGGAAAGTTTGACAAGCTTGCAGGGCCTTGGTCTATCCATCTCAGTAACGGATTGATAGGTCCAGAGGGAAGCCTGGCCCGGAGGGGCTGGCTCCACCTACATGGGAAATTCTGAGTAGAAAAACACAAGAACTTTCCAACTCTAGATCCTCCCACTGTGTGCTGAGACCATCCCCTGCTTCCCAGATGTAGGTCCCAGGACCCCGAGGTGCCCCTAGGTCCCAGTTCGCCTCTCTCAACACTAGGAGCACTTACCACACCACGGTATGTCGGGGGGATGAAGCCACAGTAAACGGGGACGAAGCAGCTGCAGTACAGGGCCTGGGGGAAGAGCAGGGCTGAGATGGAGCAGGTTCTGGAGTCGGTGGGGAGGGGGTCTTAGCTTGAGACCACTGTCTTCCCCACTACCGGTCCCAGCTTCATTAGCCCCAAAGTGGAGGGGCCAGCCTTGGAAACAGAGCCCCAAGTTCATTTCCTGGCCTGGTGCTCACTAGTTGGGTCATTGGTAACCTATGACCCAGTCTGTAAGGGTGAGGTGGCCTTGATATCTCCAGGGTCGCTGATGACACTTTCCATTAACCCAGAGGGATTCAGCAGCCATTAATCTGTGTCTGTAAGATGTTCACACGTGGGGATGCTCATAGATGGGGAGGGGGAGGGAGGTGGCTGGGACATGACTGTAGCATGGCGGGGGGCTGGGGGGTGATGGGCTGTGGTGGCGGTAAGTTTGTAACTCCCCCAAGGGAGGGGTACAGGGAGGGCAGGAAGGAAAGGGCTGTGGCGGGAGGGGCTGGAGTTTGGTCAAGCAGGTAAAGCAAGGTGAGAGCAAGGGGAAGGAGTCCCAGGCAGAGATCACAGCAGGTGCCAAGGCCTGGCCTGCTTTGGGTGTGGCGTGTCAGGTTGGCACTGTAGGAAAGGAGGTGGATGGGGCTGGGAGAGACACCACAGCCATTAGGGGTGAGTGAGAGGCGGTCTGGAAGGGCGGGCGTTAAGAGCCTGGGGCACGGGGCGCCCCATACCTGTTCATCCTGCCCCAGGGTGAGGCCAGTGTGGGGCTGTGAGGATGGGTGGCAAAGGCCCAGGTTTGGGAAGGGGATGGAAGGCCTTGACCTTTGTCTGAAAGGAAGCTGGGCATATCCCCAGAGCTGCCAGCATCAGTGGTTCAGAACTAAAACCTCTGTCCACAAGCCCTGTCCAGGTGAGTGTGCGTGTTTCTGAGTGAGAACCCATTCGGTGACAATTTTATCTTTTATCAAGGGCTATGGGAGAGAGCAGCAGAAGGGATCTGCTGGGACCTCTGACGATTCCACAAATTGGGAGGAATTCAGGGGAGAGCACTGCCAGGCTGGGGGCCCTACAGGACCGTGGCACCTGTGGCCAGGAAGGAAGAGAAGGGCTAGGGAAGCAGAAAGGAGAAGGAAGGGGGGAAGTGGCTGTGTGGGGAGCCTGTGGCCCTCCCCCCCTCCAGGCAGGGTGTGTGACAGTCCCCAGGCTCCCCTTGCCTCAATGAGCTCCTCCTTGGATGTGTACTCTGAGACCACCACGCTCTCTCCATCGGTGAGGCGCGTGAGGCCCACGTGCAGCTTCCCGGTGGCGAACTTGTAGGAGTCCTCAGGCAGCACACGGTACAGAAACTGCCTCATCTTCTGCACCATCTTGCAGGACGGCGACAAGGGCCCCAGGAAGGACTTCTTCACCTCGGCCAACCCCACGTTGAGGACTCTGAGGTACTCATCTGCAGAGGGAGCAGAGGGCAGAGGTGGCATCACCCAGGGGCCGCTGGCCAGGAGAGGTTCACTGTGACCTCACCATCTCATCCTGGTTTTTGTTGTTGTTTGTTTTGGTTGTGAGTGGTACTGGGATTTGAACCCAGGGCCTCGCATTTGCTACACAGGAGCTCTATACTTGAGCTGCACTCCACTCCTTGTGTTTTAGTTTTTCAGAGAGGGTCTAGCAATTTTTCCCGGGCCAGTCTTGGAGTAGCCTCCTGAGTAGCTGGGAGCACAGGTGTCTGCCACCATGTCCAGTTGGTTTTTAAGATAAGAGTCTTGCTAACTTTTTCACAGGCTGGCCTCGAACCAAGATTCTCCTATCTCTGACTACCCCCCCCACACCCCACACCCTGGTTCTCTTTCTATGATACTAAGTTAGAAGCATCCAGAGCCGGGCATGTACCCGCTTCTTGCTGACTGATGCTAATTCCTACCCCGTGCTACCCCCTGGGAAAATCAGGAGTGGAAATGGCTCTGAAAGTGATTGCTACATTATTCGACAATGTTTTTCTTGGCACTGGAGATTGAACCCGGGGCTTTACCCATGCAAAGTGACACTCGTAGCCCTTAAACAAATATTTGCTTGTGAAACAACCTCTATCAGCACTCAGGTTTGAACTCAGGCCTTCACGCTTGCTAGGCAGGCACTTTACTGCTTAAGCCATGTTCCCAGACCTTTTTGTTTTATTTTATTTACTTTCTCCGCTGGGGCCAACCTGGAGCACCATCCTCCTATTTATGCTTCCCTCAGTGGCTGGTATGACAGGCACACACCACCACACCCAGCTTTTCTGTGAAGGCAGGATCCTGCTAACTTTTTGCCCAGGCTGGCTTCGAACCACAATCCTCCCAATCTCAGTCACCCAAGTATCTAGGATTACAATGGTGAGCCACTGGTGCCCAGCTGGAAGAACTCTCTTACAGTTAATGTCAGGTAGATGTAGCTGCTTGGGAAGTTGTGCCATCCTGAGCTCTCTATCGTAGGAAGTAACCAAGCAGAGGCTGAGCAAGTACCATCATCAGGGCTTGTCAGAGGGAGTCCTGCATGGTGGAGGGCTGAGAGTCCTTCCAACATTGAGATTCAGAGATTCTCACAGGCACCTTGCAACATATCGGGGAGTAATCACAGTGTGCCTTTCTCTCCTGTTCACAGAGTGGCTGAGGCACAGAGAGGATGATTTGCATAAAGTCACGCACAGCAATTTGGGAAAGAAACCAAAACTAGGGATACTCTGTTCCTCTCATGCTTTTTAGTCCTCAGGAGTCCGGGAGGTGGAAAGACAAGACTCTTCAGGACCATTTTACAGATGTGAAAACTGAGGCAGAGAAAAGCATCTTGCTTTAAGTCAGACAGCCAGGCAGTGGTTTTTTGGACTCCAAACCCCATCTTTGAGTTTCCTCAGGGTTTGGGCTGATCCCAGGAATGGAGAGGCTGAGTGAGCCTGGGTTGCCATGGTGATGATCTTCCCTCACCAACACTCAGATGGAACCTGAATCTGGATGGAGAGGGACCATCTCAGGAGCATCTCAGCTGCTCCTCCCAGGCGGTGGAGCTTTGCCATACCTCAAAGGAAGGCGGCAGCCTTTCCACTGGTAGCTTATGAAGCAACTGAGCCTCTAGATAGCAAGGTGTTGGGTCACTGAGGTCTCTGGAGTGGAACCAGGATGGGGTCTCGCTGTTTCTGGAATCCTAATGAACAACCTCACACCTGCCTCCCAAAGGTCAGTGACCTTCCTATGTGCCTCAGGACCAGGGCATTGATTCAGCTTGTCCTACAATTGCGGGCTTCAGGCAGGAGGCAGCCCTCAGATGATGGAAATTTGTTCTTGTCTCACAAAGCATAAAAACTCATTGTGGAAAAAATAATTTTGAAAAATGCAGATAAGCAAAAGAGAATAAGAAAAGTCTTAGAATTCCTCCAACCAGAGATTAACAGTTGGTCTGTCTTCTTAAACTATGTATTTTATTTTTTTCTTACTTATAGAAAATCATGCCATACACAATATTTGTAAGTGGCTTTTTTTAACCTAACATAGTATGTCTTTTCCCAGTCAACAAATATCTATCCAGAGTGTAATTTTAAAAACAGCATGGAGAATGATTGTAAGGCTGTACATTATTTATCGAGCAATGGGAGTTGGCTAGTTTGTTTTCTTTCTTGTTTACTTGTTTTTCTAAACAATGCTGCGATCAATAACCTCGTGCTAAATTCTTTGCCATGCTTTCAATTACTTTCCTTAGAATAAATTCCTAGAAGCAAACTGCTAGGACAAAGGTATGCATATTTAAAACCTTCAGTGTGATTTTATTTCATCTTTCATTTCCAGTCAAGTCTCAGGTATTCAGGGAGGGGGGTTGGCGAAAGGGACAAAACATCCACTAGGATGACGGAAATCGCAGTGTCATTTCCAGTGGACTCATACCTGAAAATGGTGTATTCTGGAAACTAACAACGGTCCAGCCAGAACCCTATAGCCAGGGAGGAGGGGCAGGAGGACTGTTTTCTCCCAGTCTGGCTTAAATTTTATCTTGTTTACTGAAGCACACGCCAAAGGATGCCTTTATCTCTGCATCTTCTTCCCCAGGCCAGCTCTCTCTTTCTCTCTCTCTCTCTCTCTCTCTCTCTCTCTCTCTCTCTTCCTCTTTCCCTCCCCTGCCACTCTTTCCACCTGGGGAAAGAGTAACTAACCTGGTTTTAAATAATCAGATCTCCACTGGTAGAAAAGCAAGTGTTAAGCACAGAAAATCCTGGGTTCTGAGAAGAGACATAAGTTTAGCTCACTTCTTCATGCATCTGTGTACCTTCCAGTACCTTCTCTTATTTAAAGGCCACATTCCAAGCCACAAGCTGCCAGGCTCTGGGATGCAGTGACCTGCACTGGTCACAGCAAGGTGGGATTTAAAAGTAGCATCCAGGGCCCAATGTGTCCAGTCAGGAAAATCAAGACTGGTTCTTTCCACCCTCCTGCCTCCACTTCTGCTCAGAGAAGGAGGTTCTCCAAGGGCAGGTCCCTTTCCAATGGCCTGTCACTGTGCCTTGTTCCTCAAAGGCCCTTCAGAAGCTTTCCCTGTGGGCTGGGAATCCCTCCAGGGCCACTTGGTGGGTCCTGTCAACTTGGGGAAATCTCACAGTCTCAGAATGGAAAAAGGGGAGCTAGAAAAAAATCATTGAAGGGGAAGAAAAAGAATAACTTGCTGTATCTTATTTGGTTAAGTGTGTAATGCTTGCTCCCTTCACTAGAGCAAGCTGGTCTCTGTCTTGTTCATTCCTCGTGCTCAATACAGTGCCTGGATAGGATGGTGATAGGAGCTCTAATAAACACAAATACATGCATAAATAATTAATAATGATTTCTTCCAGAAATCAAAGAGGGATATTAAGGCCCAGAAAGAGAAATGACTATTCAAGAGATACTTCTTGACTTAATTACCCAAATAAAAGCTTGGAGACAAGATCCTCCCAGATAGAGGGGGAAGTAACAGAACTAACTACATTGACTAGTTCTGATGGATCTGTTGTGCCAGCGACTTCAGCAAGACACTAAGGAAATACGACGAGGGACTAGGGGTTCTGAAGCTGCTGGAAGCCACATCCAAGTTTCAGCCACTCGGGAATTTCATTTTTTTCTGTGATCACACCCATTTCTTGGAAAGAGCTCAGGCTTTAGAGCCTGGTAAATTTGGTTCAGATGCCAGCTTCACGCATACTATCTGGGTCATCACTGGCCAGTTAAATACCTTAATTTTAACACCTGTGCAGTGGGATTAAGAATACCTACTTTATTGGGATGTAAGACCAGTTTAAAATTGTCTGCACGCATTAGGTGCTCAATATTGGTGATGTCAGCAATTCCCTATGTGATGGGGACAAGGTTTCTGGCTCTCAGCTGTCTATCTGAACAGGAGCAACGGCCCTTGTCTTATCAATGTGTGGGCTCATGTGTGTAAGCAAAATCAATGTCTGATGGAGTGGCTCAGCCAGTGGAGCGCCTGCCTTGCAAGCTGGAGGCCCTGAGTTCAAATCTTAGTACCACAAAAGAGCAAAGAAAGAAAAATAGCAAAGTGAAAGCATGGATAGAGGGTTGTACCCAGGATTCGGAGTGGTGTGGGCACCTTTGGAAACTCCCTCTTCTGTCAATGTGGGGGGCCCTATAGGCTTAGTGTGGAAAAAGCCAGGCTAGAAAAATCACTGAAAGGGAAGAAAAGGGATCATTTGATACGTGTGCATTTCCTTTGGTTAAATGTAATGTTTGCCTCCTCACCAGAGCAAGGATGGTCTCTGTCTTGTTCATCCCTATCGTTCAGTGCAGTACCCGGAACGTCGTTAGGCACTTAATAAACATGAACACATGCATAAATAATAAAGAATCTCCAAAAATCTAAGAGGGACACTGAGGTCCAGAGAGAGAACTAGCTAGTCAAGATGACACAAAAGGTAAAAAAAGGAGGGCTTCTCTTCCCCTCCTCCACATGGCTTCCTGCTAAGTGAAAAATCCTAGAACAACGGACACTTGGAGGCTGACAACTCAGGCTGCTGGAGATCGCGTTCCCAGAGAGCCCGAATTAGACCTGCAGTGCAGTGCAGGATGGATCTGCGGTGGAGGATGGGGCTGCAGCGGGTCTCAGCGGACTGGTTGCCTAGCAACAACCTTCCGCTCAACCAATCACAGGAGGCGCTGCGCGGCCGCTCCTCCAGCAGCAGCAGCCCCGGGGAGGGGAGGCGCGGTGAGGAGAGCGTTCCCAGGAAAGCCCTGGCCGTTCTCTGAGTCCTTGGTGAAGAACCTGGGAGTCTGCTGCTCCTACCTGGTCCCAAATTGCAGACTGAATTCTCAGCTGCATTTTCCTGTGGGTAAATCTTGACTACCCGACTCCACTGTAATAATAGTAATTATTATTATTATTATCCTAACAACTGTGGTTTGCCCAACAGTCTTTCTCGCCTATAACCTGTTTATCCTAACA